GCGGAGATGAATCACATCTTACGACCCCTGCTGGACGAATGCGTGGTGGTGTACCTGGACGACATTCTCATCTACTCCAAGAACATGAAGGAGCACGTGGAGCATCTACGGAAGGTGTTCGCGATCCTGCGGAAAAACAAGTTCTACATGAAGTTGTAAAAGAGCGACTTTGCCTTGAAGAAGGTGCAGTTTCTCGGGCACATGGTGAGTGCCGAGGGCGTACACGTGGACCCACGGAAGATCGAAGCCGTCAAGAAGTGGAAAGTAGCAGAGAACGTGAAGGAGTTGCAGCAGTTCCTAGGCTTCGCCAACTACTACAACAGGTTCGTGCCGTAGTACGCTAAGATAGCAGCGCCACTGACCGACCTACTGAAAAAGGATACGCCCTACAAATGGGATACCCCTCATCAGCAAGCCATGGAGCAGCTACAGACAGCACTGACTACAGCGCCAGTACTCATCTTGCCGGATCCAGACAAGGACTACGTGGTGGAAGCAGACGCTAGTGACCAAGCAGTCGGAGCAGTACTGATGCAGGATCACGGACGCGGTTTGCAGCCCATCGCCTACCTCAGTAAGAAGCTACACGGAGCAGAACTAAACTACCCAATTCACGACAAGGAAGCCTTAGCGATAGTCATAGCCTTCAAAGCGTGGAGGTGTTACCTAGAGGGAGCCAAGACTACAGTCCATACTGACCACTTGCAGTCTCAAATACCTGAAGTCACAGCCGACACTCTCACGACGACAGGTGCGGTGGGTGGACTTCCTGGAAACTCACTTCCACTACGACATCGTCTACAAGCCCGGGCTACACAACAAGGCAGACGCGTTGAGCCGCCCCGGACATGTAGCAGGCATCCAGCTCGACGGGATGAACCCTCTGCTCAAGGGTCTATTCCAACATGGGTACTCCGTGGACGCAGAGATTGCTACAGCACAGACCAAGAAGCTATTACAGTGGGAGAAAGACTTAGTTGTAAGGAAGGGTTCAGGAAAGATTTGGGTACCGAATTACGCCCCGCTACGGCAGATCCTATTGGAGGAGTTTCACGACGTACCATACGCGGGACATTTCGGGAGCAACAAGACGTTAGCAGGGATAGCGAAGTATTACAACTGGCCCGGGATGGCAGCAGACGTGCAGCAGTTCGTCACCTCATGCGACACGTGCCAGCGGATGAAGAGCAGCAAGCAGAAAAAAGCACGGTTACTTCAGCCTCTACCCGTACCGGAGCAGCCATGGCATGTCGTTAGCCTCGACTTCATCACCGGACTTCCTTCGACCTCACAGGGGCACGATTCCATCCTCGTAGTCATCGATAAGTTCTCCAAAATGGGTCACTTCATATCGACCAACGCCACAGCTTGCAATGTCTTCAGCATACCACCCCCAGACTGACGGACAGACAGAGCGACTCAATCAAGTGGTTGAACAGTTACTGCGCACAGCTTGCAAGGACGACGTCAGCCACTGGGACACACAGTTACCGACCCTAGAGTTTGCTTACAACAACGCATCACATGCGGCCACAGGGAAAACTCCTTTCTTCCTGTGTTACGGACGGGAACCACTCACACCACAGCAGCCAACTACACCGGCACACGTCCAAGCCGCACATGACTTCGTCACCACCATGCAGCAGCTATGGGAGAAGACTCAGTGACGACTCACCACGATGCAGACCTCCCAGAAGCAGTATGCCGATCGTCAGCGACGTGATCACTCAGTAGCAGTCGGAGATCAGGTGCTTCTTGACACGCGCAACTTGAACTTGTCTCACCTCCCATCCAAACTCCGGCCTCGCTTCTGTGGTCCTTTTCTCGTTGAGGCACAGGTGACACCAGTTACATTCCGCTTGCGCTTACCAGATACGTGGAAGCTTCACAATGCTTTCCATGTGCAGCTACTGAAACCCTACAAGGACCCCAACCAACAGTTCAAGGGACGGCATCTACCGCCACCTCCACCTGTTCTTGTACAGGATGAACCCGAGTACGAGATCGAGCGCGTTCTCTCTCATCGGTGCCGCGGCGGCAAGACCCTCGAGTTCCTGATACGCTGGAAGGGATACGACCCCACTGAGGACAGTTGGGTTGCAGAAGCTGATATGGGCAACGCACGCCGTGCTCTCAAGGACTATCTTGTCAAGCAGGGTGTATCTCACGCCACCCAGCTTTGCTTGCTTGCCTTTACTTTATCATGCTATTTCTAGCATAGGATAATTATATGCATGCATGAATTGCTTGATTTCCTAGGCTAGGTGCTTTCCTATATTTTATTATAGTTATAGCACCGAGCTAGGTTGCGTGCACGGAATTCTGGCTTTTCGGTTGCCACCAAATTGCCTTCTTCCGAATTCGGTAAGGATCCGTTCGGGACGCTACACGGCCCGCGGAACCTTCGCGTAACACCTGGTTACGGGGCCTTGTGTCGAGCCTATATATAGCCTTGTGTTGTACCCAGGTGAACATTCAATTCGACTCAATTCTCATTCTCTTTTCTGAGCTCGATCCTCTTACGTTACACCCGCACGACTCAACACCGACAACGCAGAACGCATAGGGCCCAATTTCTTACCTGACCCAGAAGCAGGAGACGAAGCAGCTTATCCCGAGGACGCAAATCCTCCCCGCTACACACATAGTGGAGTCCAGATACTCGGGCTCGTCACCGCAGTCCACGGCACGGCGCCACCTAAGGAGTCTGCCACAGTTCAGCAGGCTCTGGGGGGGGAGCACACGGAAATATGGCGCAAGGCCATGGACAGAGAGTTAAAGGCACTCAAAGAATGCAACACCTAAAAGGTCGTACCTATTGGTGTGGCACGGAATAAGACAATTCTCACCGGCAATTGGGTTTTTTTGGTGAAAGCAAAGGCAGACGGAACCATCGACAAATTTAAGGCACGTTGGGTCGTACGTGGCTTTGACCAAGAGCACGGACGAGACTTCACCGAAACATTTGCACCTGTTAGTCGGCACACTTCACTGCGGATTCTCCTCGCGATAGCCACCGTGGTGCGGAAGAAGCTTCGTCAAATCGACGTCGCTAACGCCTTTCTCTACGCACCCGTCGATGCTGGAATCTACGTCGAGCAACCGCACGGCTCCAACGCAGACCCCAATCAAGTCTGTCAGCTACTGAGGTCCCTGTACGGCATCAAACAGGCCCCGAGACTGTGGCAGCAATATCTACATGCGCGACTAATCCGCATCGGATTCCGACAACTGCCGCACGATCAAGGAATGTACCGGCAGGAACTGACTACATCCTGTTGATCGTCTACGTGGACGATCTACTCTACATCGGCTCGACCGACTGCGTCACAACCTGGTTTGAAGGGGAGCTGCAGCGGGACTTAACGCTCACCATCTCATCCACCGTGACACAATACCTCGAGCTCAACATACAGGAAGAAGAGAACGCGATCTATCTCAGCGCCGCAAAATACGCCAACACCATCGCCAAACGCTTCGGATTGACTCCAACTGCTATCTCCACACCGTACCGGTACACCTCCGCGAGCCATGAAGGAACCTCCGCACCACTCAAGCCCGTCGGCATACGCGACTATCAACGAAAGCTAGGATGTCTACTATTCGCAGCCGACACCTGCCGACCAGACCTATCGTATTCGGCAAGCCAGCTCGCAACCTACCTCAAGAAACCTGAAGTAGAGCACATGGCGGAACTCAACCGCTCACTCCACTACCTCGTCAGCACTCCGACAATCCGCCTGACCTACCACAAAAACGGAACCTCGATTCCTATGTCAGGCATATATGCTATAGTCTGTGTAGGCTGTAGTGGGGCAGTTCGTATGGGGTACAACACTTTAGGGTTTGCTACTTGTACTCCCCTTTCTGCTCAATGCATTCATTCTCGTTTCTCGTCATGGTATCGAGCAGGTTCCCTAGTGGGAACGCTACCTAGGGCCCACCACGATACTTTTTTTTTCCTGCTCGGAGCGCGCTTCACTCCTGCCCGAGTCGCGCTCTGTGTGCCCTCCCTACCTTCGAGCCGCCCTTATTGGCCCCTCTCACGGCCCCTTTGGCCGCCCTTACGGCCCCTCGCCCCGCCCTTACGGCCCCTCGCGCCGCCCTCTACGGCCCCTCGTGCCGCCCTTACGGCCTCTTAAGGCCCCTGGCGTCGCCCTTACAGCCCTCGCGCGGCCCCTTTCGGCCCCTCGCGGAGCCCTTTCCGGCCCCTTACGGCCCCGTCTAGGCCCCTTGCGACCCCGCTACGGCCCCGTCTAGGCCCCTTACGGCCCCTCCGCGGCCCCGTCTAGGCCCCTTGCGGCCCCGCTACGGCCCCGTCTAGGCCCCTTACGGCCCCTCCGCGGCCCCGTCTAGGCCCTTGCGGCCCCGCTACGGCCCCCTCTAGGCCCCTTACGGCCCCTCCGCAGCACCGTCTAGGCCCCTTGCGGCCCCGCTACGGCCCCGTCTAGGCCCCTTACGGCCCCTCCGCGGCCCCGTCTAGGCCCCTTGCGGCCCCGCTAAGGCCCCGTCTAGGCCCCTTACGGCCCCTCCGAGGCCCCGTCTAGGCCCCTTGCGGCCCCGTCGCCGCCACGTGCGGCCCCGTCGCCGCCACCAGCGGCCCCGTCGCCACCACCTGCGGCCCCGTCGCCGCCACGTGCGGCCCCGTCGCCACCACCAGCGGCCCCGTCGCCACCACCAGCGGCCCCGTCGCCGCCACCTGCGGCCACGCAGTCGCCACCTACGACCCCGTCGCCGTCACCTGCGGCCCCGTCGCCCTCCCCTAGCGGCCCTGTCACCGCTCAGCCGCCCAGCGACCGAGCCGCCGAGCAGCCCAGCAGCCGAGCCGCCCAGCAGCCGAGCCGCCGAGCCGCCCAGCAGCTGAGCCGCCCAGCAGCCGAGCTGCCCTGCCGCCAAGCCGCCGAGCCGCCCTACTAACGAGCCGCTGCTGTTCCTACCGGTGCTCCCCGGCCCTCCTTCCTCGGACTGGTGAGCTCACTTCCTGCTAGGCCACTGCAGTCATGGCTACCCCCAGTGTCCTTACTTTCGATGCTGAGGGCTGTGCCGTTGACTTTGAGGTGTGGGTGGATGACCTCCAGCTGTTTCTCCAGTGCGATAGGGCAGACGGACTCTCTCTGTTCGATCTCACCTCTGGTGTCTCTCCTACCCCGATTGCCACTGCTGACAGCACTGTTCGCTCACAGTGGGCCACACGCGATGCTGCTGCTCGCCTTGCTGTGCGCCGCCACTTACCGACCACTGAGCGTGCACACTTTAGCCAGTACAAGAGTGCTCAGACCTTGTACGACGCTGTAGTTGCACGCTACTCTTCCCCTGCCACTGCTGCACTGAGCCGCCTCATGCTACCGTACCTCTTCCCTGACCTTGCTGCCTTTCCTACAGTCGCTGACCTCATTACGCCCCTCCGCACTAGTGACACTCGCTACCGCGCTGCGCTTCCTGCTGAATTCTGCGCCAAGAACCCCCCCCCACGTACATCACCCTCTACTACATAGTCACCCGGCTCCCTGACTCTCTTCGCGTAGTGAGGGACCACTTCCTCTCAGTTTGCCCCACCACTCTCACCGTTGACCTCCTCAAGAAGGGCCTCCTAGCAGCAGAGAAGAGCATAGTAGCTATAGGAGCCTCTCGTGGTGACCCTCGCACCTCCGTCTTTGAGGGGTGTTCCCCCTCCCCCCTCTTGCCCTCTGTTGCTTCTGCTGCTGCGGCCGACCTCGTTGGTTTCGAGTCGGTCGGCGCTGCGTCTACCCCTAGCGGGAGACGCCGCACCGGCAAGGGCAAGGGGGGCAAGGGCGCTGGAGGGGCTGGCGGGGGCGGTGGAGGTGGTGGTGGAGGCAGTGGAGGGGTTGGGGGTGGTGGTGGGAGTGGTGGCGGGGGTGGCGGCGGCAGCGGCAGCAGTGGAGGCGCAGGAGACGGCGGAGGTGGCGGATGAGGCGGAGGTGGAGGAGGCGGCGGAGGCGGCGGCGGCAGCAGTGGACCTGGTCCCGGCTCTGCGCAGAGGAGTGGCTCCGATGGTGGTACGCGCCAGCAGCAGCAGAGCAGTCGTGAGACCCTGTCCCCTCATCAGCTTCGTGAGTGGTACGCTGCGCGTCAGCGCGGTGGGGGTACGGGTCCCTCCACCTACGTTCTCCGCACCGGCGATCGCGCTGGTGAGCAGTGCGGGGGCCCGCACTCCACCCAGCGCTGCTTCGGCCGCCTGACGGACGCGTGGCATCACCAGTTCCCTGGGGCCTCTGAGATCCCTCGCTGTGGAGAGCTGTCTAGGGCGGGGGTTGCTATCTTTGATCTTGATTTTGATGCTATTCTTGCTGCCATGTATGCTGTTGATGATAGTGTTGCGGGTGACTGTTACCTGTGTGTACCGCCTGACCCGGGCATTGAGGCAGTTGCTCTAGGTGCTCGTGCGTCTAGTGCCCTAGGTGCCAGTGCGTCTGCTGCCCCAGGTGCTGGTGAGTCTGCGCTCTCAGGTACTACGTCGGCTCAGGCCTTACACACCTTCACCCTTGACTCGGGTGCGTCCCGCTCCTTCTTTCGAGACCGCACCACTCTTACGCCGCTCAGTCGGCCGGTTGCGGTCTCCCTGGCGGACCCCTCTGGGGGTCCTGTCCTTGCTAGCTTCTCCACTGTCTTACCGTGCCCAGCAGCCCCCTCTGGCACCCTGTCAGGTCTCTACCTCCCCTCGTTCTCTACGAACTTGGTGAGTGGAGCGGACCTACAGGATAGGGGGGTTGACCAGTTCACTCCTGCGAGTCAGCGAGTGACCCACTGCACGTGTGCTCGGACAGGCCGACACTTGGCCACGTTCACCCGTCGGCCAGTGTCGAGCCTATACACCCTTACTACTGAGTCTCCTCTTGCTGCTGAGTCTTGTGAATGTTTAAAAGAAAGAAGAGGGTTGCACTAGCAAGAATGAGGATACAAATAGCAAACCCTAGAAGGGTTGTACTCGCTATAGAGCACCCCACTACAGGCTAGAGCATAATATTTTGACACCACCCCATAGCCAAAGTGGGGTGTAATTAGCAGAGCAAGCAAAGCAGTACAAGCTCAGGGTGGATCACAATGTCACCACACATTCTGAGCACAAGTTCAAGAAGCAATAGTTTAAAGTTCACAATTATGAGCAAAGCTAGTGGTAGTCACAACGGGCAAGTGAGGAGGATGAAAGAGACTATGAGAGGAGAGGAGGTAGTGGGCGGCAGCTGATGCTGCTGGCACACGGCGCAACTGGAGCAACTGGCACACGGGCAACTGGAGCAACTGGCACACTGGCAACTGGAGCAACTAGCACACTAGCTACTGGAGTAACTGGCTCCGCGGCTAAAAGTAGCAATAGACGAGCAACGGACTCACGGGCGACTGGAGCAACGGGCTCACGGGCGACTGGCGCAACGGGCTCACGTGCGACTGGCGCAACGGTCTCACGGGCGACTGGAGCTGCTGGCTTCACGGCTGCCACCCCCTTCAACCTCCCCAAACTATCCCACTCCCCCTGACACACACCCGCTGCTACACCGCTAGCTCCACTCCCCCTTCACCCCCCCTTAGTACCACTCCAGCGGCTCCAACAAGTCTACCCCCCCTCAGCGGCAGCTGTAGCACAGGGAGACAGAGGAGAAGGAGGAGCAGGGAACGGCACACAGTGGCTTCACCCCCATACCCCTCACCCCCAAACCCTAATTCAGGAGAACGGGCTGTAGGAGGGGTGGGGCGCCAGTAGAAGCACGGGGGACAGCGGGGAGGGCAGGGGCAGCGAGGAAAGGGCCGCCCACGGGCCTTGCATAGCCGCCCGAACCGCGCGCAGGCGGCCCGAGCCGCGCGCGGGCCTGGCGCAGCCCGTACGGGCCGCGCGCGGGCCTAGCGCAGCCCGTACGGGCCGCGCGCTGGCCTGGCGCAGCCCGTATGGGCCGCGTCCGGGCCTGGCGCAGCCCTTACGGGCCGCGCGCAGCCTGTACGGGCCGCGCGCAGGCCACGACGGGCGACAGAGGGGGCGACGCGCGGGTCCCCGTCGCCCGTCGCAGCGCCTCCCGAGGGCGACGCGTTGAGTGACGGGGCAGAAGCCCACCGTGCGCGTCGGGGCGCACGGCGGGCAGAGAACCGCCGCGCGCCACGGGGCGCACGGCGGGCAGAAAACCGCCGCGCGCCTCAGGGCGCACGGCGGGAAGAAAAAATGCCACACGCCCAGCAGTGGAAGTTGCAGCGGAAGCAACGAGGTGGTGAGCCCACCCACAGCATCGATCCAAGGGGATCGACCTGCTCTGATAACATGTGAAAGTTTAAAAGAAAGAAGAGGGTTGCACAAGGAAGAATGAGGATACAAATAGCAAACCCTAGAAGGGTTGTACTCGCTATAGAGCACCCCACTATAGGCTAGAGCATAATATTCTGACAAGTCTGGCCAGGTAGCTGCATCGAGTCAGGTGTTTGCTGCAGCGTCCAGGTCTGGTCCTGAGTCTGCTCCCTGCTCGTGTCGTCTCCTGTCCCACCAGACTCTCCTTTGGCACCACCGCCTTGGTCACCCCTCCCTGCCTCGTCTCCGAGGCATGGCCTCTCGTGTCTTTGTCTCTGGTCTCCCTCGGTCTCTCCCTCTCCTACCTCCGGGGCCTGGCCCTATCTGCATCGAGGGGCGACAGCGCGCCGCCCCTCACTCCTCCGAGTTTCCTCCGACAGAGGCTCCGCTGCAGACTCTCCACATGGACGTGTGGGGCCCCGCCCGCGTCAGTGGGCAGGGGTGCGAGCGGTACCTCCTGCTGGTGGTTGACAACTACTCGCGTTACACCACAGTCTTCCCCTTGCGCAGCAAGGGTGACGTCACTGAGGTGTTGATCGATTGGATCCGCGCAGCTCGTCTCCAGCTCAGAGAGAGTTTCGGCTCAGACTTTCCTCTTCTGCGTCTGCACTCGGACAGAGGCGGGGAGTTTTCCTCTGCCCGTCTGGGAGCTTTCTGTCGTGCGCAGGGCATCCGCCAGACCTTCACGCTTCCGGCCTCTCCACAGCAAAATGGGATTGCTGAGCACCGCATTGGCATGGTCATGGACGTCGCTCGTACGTCCATGATGCATGCGGCTGCCCCCCAATTTCTGTTGCCGTTTGCGGTTCAGTACGCCGCGCATCAGCTCAACCTTCTGCCCCGGGTCTCCTTGCCAGAGACCTCCCCCGCCTTGCGGTGGACCGGGAAGGTTGGCGATGCGTCTGCGTTTCAGGTCTGAGGATCTCGGGCGTTTGTCCGCGACTTGTCTGCGGACAAGCTGTCCCCCCGTGCTGTTCCCTGCGTCTTCCTTGGCTTCCCCCCTGACGCGCCTGGGTGGCAGTTTTACCACCCCACCTCGCGCTGTGTTCTGTCCTCCCAGGACGTCACCTTTGACGAGTCGGTGCCTTACTAACGTCTCTTCCCCTACCGCACTGCGCCCCTCCCCCCGCCGCCGCTCTTCCTTGCGCCAGGTCCTCCCCCGGTAGACCCCCTCCCCCCTCAGGGTCCTGCCCCGTCAGGTGTGTCCCAGGTAGACGCAGTCGAGCTTGTCGAGGTAGCTGTTGACTCTGGTGCTGCTAGAGGTGCTGAGCCTGCGGGTGCCGGGTCTGGGGGTGCTGATACTGGGGGTGATGAGTCTAGGGGTGCTGAGTCTAGGGGTGCTGAGCCTGAGGGTGCTGGGTCTGGGGGTGCGGAGCCTGGGGGTGCGGAGCCTGGGGGCGCTGGGTCTGCTCGTATGGCTGCTGGCGGTGCTTCGTCGATGCGGGAGCCGCTCTCTCCACAGGAGCTGCGCGAGTGGTTTGCCCGCCGCTGGGGACGTGCTGCTGGAGCTGGAGGTACTCCCGTTGCTGCTGGTCCCGGAGGTGCTCGTACTGGCGGTGCTTGAGCTGCTAGGGCCACTGGAGTTGGTCCTGTTGGAGCTGCTGACAGTGCTGGTGCTGCAAGAGTTGGAGCTGCTGGGGATGTTGGCGCTAGTGTTTCTACTGGCGCTGGTGCGTCTGGGGGTGATGCTGAGGCTGCTGGAGCTGGAGCTGCTGGAGCTAGAGCTGCTGGGGGTGTTTGCGCTGGCGGTACTGCTGGCGCTAGTGCTTGTGAGGGTGCTGGAGCTGGCGTTGTTGGAGCTGGAGGTGCTGCTGGCGCTGGTGATGCCGCTGAGGGTACTGGTGCTGCCCTTCCTGGTTCTGGAGGCGCTGCGCGGCCGAGGCCGTACTTCATTCCGCTCCTGGAGCAGGTTCTTGGTCTCCCGCCCTCTACTGGTCCTGCTCCTCCCTTAGAGTGTCCACAGCCTGTCCAGTCCCAGTCACAGTTACAGCCCGCCTCCCCTCTACCTGCTCCTTCTCCATACACTGGTCCTACTGGATGTCTTGCTGAGCGTCGTGAGCCTGCGTCTTGTCTTGCGTCGCCTGTTCGTGCTGCTCGCACTAGTGGTCGTACTGCGCGTCCGCGTCCTCCTGCTGTCCCCGGCACACACCAGATGGCGCTGCATCCTTCCAGTGCTCCTCTGCATGTCCCGTTACCGTCTCCTTCACAGTCCTCTCTTCCTACTCTTGCTGACCCGGAGTCTGACTCTCTTCGTGCTGCTAGTCCTTCTGTCATCGTCTTCTGGCTACTGTTGTCACTGACCCTTCCTTTGAGTCCACTGCTGCGTGTTCCCTAGTTGCTGAGCTTGTCGACTTCGCTGCTCGCTGTCGTCTAGACTACGCTGCTAGTCTTGTTGCTGAGTCTGTGTCTCTCTGTCCTCCGTCCGTCGGGGGTGAGTGTGCTCTTAGCACGGACGTCCTTGAGGACAGGCAGGAGGAGTTCCAGTGCTTTGCGGCTGCTTTGCCCCATCTCGTGTCCACGCTGATTGCCCCTGAGGGAGACCCGGATGCACCAGACATCCCGACTCCTCGATCGTACGCTGAGGCGATCGAGGGTGCCTACTCCTCTCAGTGGCAGTCGGCCATGGACGCAGAGATGGCTTCCTGGAAGTCCACAGGCACCTACGTCGACGAGGTTCCCCCACCTGGGGCGAACATCGTCAGTGGCATGTGGATTTTCAGGGTGAAGCGGCCGCCGGGTTCTCCGCCTGTCTTCAAGGCGCGTTACGTGGCTCGAGGCTTCAGTCAGCGAAAGGGAGTTGACTACTTTCAGACCTTCTCTCCCACCCCGAAGATGACCACTCTTCGGGTGCTGCTGCACATAGCCGCTCAGCGCGACTACGAGCTTCACTCTCTTGACTTCAGCACTGCTTTTTTGCAGGGCAGCCGGCACGAGGAGATCTGGCTGCACCGCCCACCTGGCTTCACTGGGTCGTTTCCTCCTGGTACCCAGTGGAGCCTCCGGCGGCCAGTCTACGGTCTCCGCCAGGCGCCCCGTGAGTGGCACGACACACTGAGGACTACACTTGCGGCTCTTGGGTTTTCTCCTTCTACAGCCGACCCGTCGCTATTTCTGCGCACCGACACCTCTTTGCCGCCGTTCTACATCCTCGTGTACGTCGACGACTTGGTCTTTGCCACTGCTGACACTGCTGGACTCGCCCACGTGAAGTCTGAGCTGCAGAAGAGACACACGTGCACAGACCTGGGTGAACTGCGCAGCTACCATGGCTTGCAGATCACCCGGGACAGAGCACAGCACACCATTACCCTGACTCAGTCACACATGGTGCAGCAGGTCCTTCAGCGCTTCGGCTTCACGTACTCCTCGCCTCAGGCCACTCCTCTGTCTACTCGCCACTCGCTCTCAGCTCTGCCTTTGGATGAGTCCGTAGAGCCGAGTGGCCCGTACCCAGAGCTTGTTGGTTGCCTCATGTACCTGATGACCTGCACACGACCTGACCTTGCATACCCTCTTAGCATCTTGGCACACTATGTTGCTCCTGGGAGACACCGAC